CTTCTAAACAAATTCAAAGTAAAAATGTCATAATCAAACAACCTCTAGTACTGCACAACAACCCTTTACCTTAAAGAACATAAGGAATATAGGATATAGCAAACTGGTGGCAGGCTGCACTGCATTTATCCCTAAGGATATTCCTAAGAATACAGCATACAATTAGTTGTCAGCAACTTTCTGGTACAAAACCAAAAAACTTCATATAAAGCATCAGCTCCAAACATATATGGGGTAACCTTCAAGAGAATGTACATTCAGTTAGGAAAAACAGATAAAAATGCAGGATCCAAAGGAACCCAAATTAAAAGTTTTTGTGCATGTGATGGGAAGACATTTATTAAAACTGGGAGAATACATCTACTCTGGCTACAGCTGAACTAAATTAATACTTGGCTGCCCCCTCAAATCTGCTGGAATACATGCATGCCTGGTTACTCCTTCAATTAGGTCTGTAAAACCAGCATACAACAGCTGTAGTAATAAACTTGTGCTACTCTGCAATGCCATTATCACCTCAGGAAGTTTCCTGTTAAGATTGAAAGAGGTGTTGATACACCTTTCCAAATTTCCTTGTCATCTCTGCCTTCATCCACACTTCAGAAACAATTTCATAATACAGACTGAAGCAACTGTTCAGACTATTGTCACTCCAAAGAGGGAATATATGAATGAAAGCAGTTGTTGTTTTTTCTTTTCACCCTCCCCATTTCTACACTGTGAAAACAGTGGGAAGAAACGGACCAAGCTGATGGCCAGTACTCAAGAAGCTGCAAGGATAAGAATGCAGTCACTCTCAGTTTTTAAACTGATGCAACTTTTAATGTGGAAAGCACAATTTATACCCCCTTTTAGCTTAAAAAATGAAAGCTCCCATGCCAATCCTTGTATCCCAGCAAGAACAGTGGTCGAAGTTGGAAGCATAATATTCCTCCTGCCCTTGAACAATCTTCAAACTGCGGCTTAAAACAAAGTCTCATGAACAGAAGAAAAATCTATAGTAAGTCTGACTCTAATCACTGCCCTTACAAATTACCTACCAGATACTTGGAGCATTTATAAAATTTGCTTGAGGTAGGAGTAACTTTTCTGGAAAAGCACTTTAAGTCCCATATGAGCAATCACTGCTATGAAATAGCACTTATATTCTTCTCCACTCATCTTCCTTCCCATCAATAATTTATTTTAAAATAGGCAGTATTTTGAGACCAACATACCATTTTTTTCCAGATGCAAATTGTACCTTGGGGTCATGTACTGAGCCTAGCTTACAGAAAGATTACCTTGCAGAATTTGGATCATGGTTACTGAAGTAGACTAGGAAATCCTGCTCTTACTTTCACCACTGAAATGCTCTGGTTTAAGAAAATTTACAAGTTGAAGCAAAACCAAAGTCCTAATAAAAAATGAAAGGTCAATGAGCGCAGATTATGCGTGTCATAAAGAGCATCTGTAACTTTCATGCCAGTTGTTTATGTGTCACTAAAAAATGTTTTACCACACAGTAAAATGCCTAACAGGGAGCAGCACAAATTACAAAAGTCAAGATGAAATTGTAACTAATACACAGCAAGCGTGGAGAAAAAATCTGAATTTCTTCTGAATTTCCTTGTTTTCTTACAATTAAGATTTCAAGACTTCATGTAGTTTGCTAGATTAGCCAACATATCTGTGCAATTCTAGAACAGAAACTTCACTCGACCCTGGAAACAAGGGTACTTCCTAAGAGCACCGTGTATTAAGGACCTAAAGAAAACAAAAGGTTCCTACAAGGAATCCTTTACTGCCACTACCTACTTCTGTATTCTTTCTATAGACATAAAAATAACTTCAGTCTCCAGGCCTGAAAAAACAGCTCTTTTGAACGTACCCTTTCTAAACCTACAGTTTATTAAAGTTTCTTTTAGTGTCTTATTAGAAGATATGACCAACACATTCTGAAATGAAAAGCTGAAGTATAAGAATTTTGTTGAAAAAATTGAAAGCTCTCATATCTGCCAATGAACGATTCATAGAAAAGCCCAACCCAAAACTTAAAAAAAAAAGCCCATCCGAACACAAACAAGTGGGATTTTTATTATTTTTTTTAATGACTACATTTTTCTCCCATATTGCAAGGCTTCAGACAAGGTGGTGAGGGGAGAGAAATTAGATGATCTTACCCAGAGGCAAGCATCATGCACAGTAACTTGGAAAAAAAACAGGAAAAAATATTACACAAGTCAGCTGGCTCAGCAAGGATTAAGAAATACTTTGATAAACAGCAAATGATATGAAAGGCAAAGCTCTTGGCTCCAGCTCAGAAAAATAATTACTCCCAGCTGGGCACACAGAACTCCAAGAAGGGCTACAATTTCACAAGAAGGGCACAGGAAAACTTACACAGCCTAACAGTCTTTCCTTCATAGTTAAGTTGGTAGGTATATGCCAAGTAACATTTAGGCCAATGGCTAAAAGTAAACAAGACTATGAACAATGTTCTAGTGGGGCACAGGTTACCTGCCCTTCCCAGGCATGCATAAAGCTGATGGAAATGGAGAACAAAATTTAAAAAGTGGTCATGCTGCTTTGAAATTACACTGCTGCAGATGGGCCTTTACACAGCATTTAATTTCTTTTTTTCACACATAAATATACTTGGCTAAATAGTCAATCAACAGAACTTTAAAAGGGGTTTCTTCAACAACCCCTGACACTTGAAAGAAATTGCCAAACTTTTAAAAATACAAAGCAAATTTTACATTTAAAAACTCCTGCAGAGCAAGAAAATGCTTTCACCCATTCTCAAAATACAGTCAAGTCTCTTGTCACAGCACAAGGCTTGAGTCAAAAAAAGTTTGCTTTCACTGGTAAAACTTTTTTCTGATATTTTTCCTGCTGACTGCTTGTTTTATGTGGGTGGGGTAATGTTTTTATTGTTCTGGACTGCCTTTTAATTGATGGCAGAGTGCCTGAATTTTGGGATTGGCATCTCTTCCATTGTTTTTGCTGAGATAAATAAATGTATCTCCCCCCCTTTTTAAAAACGAATACACTCTATACTCTCGACTGCTAAAAACAAACCCACAAAACAAACAAAAGCTTTCAGATGGCACAAGCAATCTGCTGAAACCCTGCTGCAAGGAATTTACTACTGAAAAACCTCATCCAGGCTTCCTACTCTCTGAAACACTCTCAAAGACCAAGAAGCAGAGATATAACAGTGGAGGCCAGCAGAAGTGTTCAGTGGCTAAATATTTGTGTAATTCTGAGAAAGAGAATGAAGAGCAGATTTTGGCCTCAACCTCAACCCTCAACAACTACCAGGAGGGGAGCTTGCTAAATGAGTAAGATATGTTCTCAAGAGAAAATAAGGCAGATTAGGAACAGCTTGAAAAGGAGTTATTGAAGAGTTTGGTTCAGTGTTAAACTGAATGGAGACTCACTGAAGCAAAGGCTGAAGAGTCACTGAAACAAGGGAGAGAGGAAAGGGGGTGGTCTGCCTAGGCAGACATGCAATTAAAAAACCCAACCAAAAATCCCAATCCCCACCCCAGCTTTTGTGCACAAGCAATGTGAAAGCAGCACCTACATTAATACTCAAACCCAAGACTAACCAGCCAGCATCTAAAACATCTCCAGAGGTCTTGAATGGAAATATGCTATTACTGATGCTGCCAAAATAAAACTTTTCTTTAGCATAGAAACATTTACAATCTGTGTTTTCTGACCTAGTAATTAAAAAATTGCCCTGCTACAATGTGGCACAAAACAAACGTCCTAGTTCTTGCTCAGATATTGACTTAATGCTGACTACAATAGTAGTTGGCACTGCCATTCTTCTAATATTTTGCTATTCCAAGGGAGGAGAAACAAACAAATGAACCAAAAAAAGGGGAACCACACACATACACATGTCCCCCCACCCAAACAAGCAAGCTGGAATTATTTAAGGAGAAATAAAGTGTCAGCACCAAGCTAAATTGTTCTCATTATCCAAAGAATATAAAAAATACTTTAATATTACACTTGCATGAAAATTGTATGAGCACTCCATGCCAGGCAGTGTTTCAGCATGTCCCCCAAGTGCACACAAACAAAAAACATATGACAAAATGTTGTCTCCCAACTGATTAAAGTATTTCTTCCTGGCACAGAAAAGCACTTAGTTAAGTGCAGTGTGTCTGTGCCAACTGCAGTATTCCACCCACCACCAAGCACAGAGTTCAAACCTGAACACAAATACGCTTCAAAAACGTGCAGCTCCTGAAATACGAGAAAGAGTTGTCTGGGCAACTTGTTTTCAACCCTGAGCTACTTGGTGAGCTGAAAGAACTGATGAAGAGCTGGATGTGTCCAACTACGCTGTGTCTCAAACACATTTGGGAAAAGTGGAATGTATTTCTTTCCAAAACATCTCAAGAGCAAGGAAGCCACACCAGCCCAACACACACAGAGAATCAGGGAAAGAAAAGCCTACATATAAGGTTTAACAGGCCTGTGTTTCTTTCTGTTGTGGTATTCATTTTGTACGGCAAATCCTTCAGTTTCAGGCACCATAATCACCCAAAGGAAGCGAGTTTGACATGACCAGACTCTGGGGACACACAAGTACAGTCTAATATACCATGTAAGATGAACAGCCTCCAGGTCTTTAATGATTTCAAGGAGCTAACTATTGTTGGCCAAATTCCAAATGTCACAACCCACCAGAATCTAGCAGTTTGTTCCATGCTTGGTGTAAAATCCAAGAGAAAATCTAGTGTTTCATAATCTTTTTTTAAACACAGCTAAACCAAGTTAAGTGCATAAAAGGCTCCATGTCTTATCAGAAGAGCTTCCAGTGTTTTGTACTTTGATAGTCAAAAGACAAGGAAAATAGGCTACTTGTTCCCTTCCAAAAGTCTCAAAACATCCCAGCCATTTGGGTCAGAGGTTTATGAAGAGCAAGCATATTGACAGAGAGTCTTTATATTGAGAAGGTACCTTGTAAGCATTTTTTCCTCACAGATGAAGCCTACCTGTTTACTTTTAGCAGCCTTTCCAGCAGGATTCTTGGTTCCTTTAGCCCCCTCCATGTTTCTTAGAACATCAATGAAATCTCTCTTTGAAACAGAAGACATCAGTTTAGCACGCTTCCTCTCAGAGCCCCCTGCTTTCTTCACCTCCTCTTCCATTTTCTTCTGGTGCGTCCTGACAGCGTTGAATAATTGTACAACACCTCTGGGACAGGGAAAAAGACAACAAAGCAAACCTTTTAACTCAAGTTCCTTCCACAGAAATGAGGCCCCTACTAAAGCTGATCAGTGCAGATGCTGGATGGTTTCTAACTCCCCAAAATGGTTACCTGGAACTTCAATTTGGTTAAGAAGTAACATTTACTAGAATATAAAGGACTTTCAATTTTTACTCCTCCTTCACAGCTATTGCTAGGAACCAGTAACAAAACAAATCTACTATTCAGACTCTGAAGTAAGCCTGATAACATGGCACTGAGATCTGTTTCATCCTTGAGCATGTTTCATCCTTGAGCATGTTTCATCTTTGGGAGCATGTTATTTGTCCTAAAATCAGTTATTAAATTACTTAGGCAAGTTTCTTAACGGCAGTTGAAGCTGGAGGATAGGGCAGAGGAATGAGTAAGGACATACAGGCAGCACATCAAAATGTTCAACTAGTTCTGTGACACCAAACTACCACAATGTGAACAGGCAGCTGAACTTCACAACTGTGGATCTGGTGAATCCTCTGTGGAGAAGCAAAAAACCAGAAAAGTAGTAACAACTGTTCTGCATTTTTAAGGCATTAAATTAACAAAATGAGGGGATCCAACAAAGCACTTCTGCTAAGCAAACATTAGATTCCCATCTAAATTTTTACTCTTTCATAAAGCTTCTGAAATCTTTTGTTGAACTTGATACTGTACAATGCAGACCTGTCTATAAATCTCTCGGCTCCTGCTAGTCACTTCTTAAGAGTTCAATCTGATTGGAAACAGATTACCTGCACAGGCCTTTTCCTCCTCTTTTAGATATACATACATTTAAGGAAAGCATTCAGAAAAACTTATACCTTGTGGCAATTCTCTGAAGATTTCTTTCCTTCTCTCGGTCTTTGACAACATCTGGCTTCACTCGGCACATCATTTCCCATTCCCGCTTTTTATCAAGCTGCGTTATAAATATTGTTATGTGAAACAACATGGACATTTGAGAATGCAGCATGACCTGACAGAGGATGTAGCAGGAGGAAAAAAAGTATCTGCAAAGTTCAGTCTGGTTGAAAGTAAAAGGAACTCCAATATAGGGCTGGACAAGTCTCTTGCATTGACACAACAGGGGCCACACTCAGATCTCAGTCATCTACTTCCAGCAACAAAAGCCTAGGAAAAAGATGCTCTCACACCGACTGCCTTGAGCAAGGAAATTATTCAAAGACAGCCTTCAAATCCCACACTTCACAAGCTGACCACAGAGAAATTTATACATAGTAAAATCCTGGGTCCATCAAGACTGGCATGTCACATTTTGAACATGGAGAATTTGACTTCCCCCTACAGAACTCGCCCCAGTATGGCTTTGTGACCAAAGCAACACTCAGCAAAGAGTACAACAGGCAGAACTCTAACACAGGAAGAGCACCAAGTGGCCACCAGACAACAAGTCATGTGTACAGTACTGGCTTTTGTCTATTTTTTGGAGGCTCTCCATTTCAAAACCAAATTGATCCCCTTTTCCTACCAGCGGACACGAAACCATCAGCTTTGTTTCTGCTGCAATAGGAGACCACTGTATTTCATGGCCTCTGCTTTAGGAGTGAGTTTTTCTTCCCTCTGAACAATTTAACAGTGTTTTAAGCCTGGTGATGTTCCATTAAATCTGTTTTATGCAAGAAGTCTCTAATGGAATTTCAGAGTCCTTATCTTTACAATTACAGGCAGACTACTATGAATTTCTGAGTTTATGACCATGTTTTGGCCTTTGATCAAAAGAACTGCCCTATCCTACCTTTCATCAGCAAGAAATCAATGAAAGGCAAATTGCTTTCAAGTTTTGCTAAAGCAAACAAGTCACTTTGGGGACCTGTGGCCCATTTCTGTTCTGCAGTATTCTCACATATTTACTGGATGAGAGCAGGTATTTAGGACAACCGTAACTGTGCAGATGCTGTAGTGAAGCTCTCTGAATTTAAAAGGCAAGCCATGGCCCAACTGCAGCATGTCCCAAACTGTCAGGTGAATAACCTGGTTATCCCATAGAAACAGAACTGGTAGGATGAGACATTAGAACTATTAATGTATTTCTAGCCTGAAGGGAAATCAATCAGAGCCTGGAATTAAAAGTTCCACTAAAAGCACAAACAAATGACTTACTTGCCAACATGGTTTCTTCATACCAGTTTCAGAACCAGAAGCAATTTAGGGCACAGATATGGGAATAGAAAGCTCCAATCAGGAGTTTTCTATTGAGAAAACTATTTTCTATTCATGACTCAGGGGAGCAAATAACAATGCACAGCCACATCAATGATTACTGCAGTCTCAACCTAGAGGCCTTGATTTTGGAAGTCACAGCACAATTTAAATGGAAGCAGTTTTCTTCTCTTTCTCACCCTCACTTTCTATGGTAGACAACTATTTCAATTTGTAATGCCAACAAAGCGAATTTCACCCCAAATTAACAATGCCAATTAGAGAATCAAGCTTAAAGTAGCTGCTTTCAGCCCCTCAAAAAAGAAAACACCTTAAGCTGACAGACTGGAACACTCCTGCTGCCAATGTTCAGCCTGCCTGATGACCCAGAAGAAGTAGTAAGAGAAAAAACCTTACACAGCATGACTAGAAAGTAAAAAAATTAATCTGCTCAAGATCACTGTGAAGGAGAGACTCCAAAACTGAGAGATCTGGGACAGTGCTCTGAGACTATCTTGCATGTAGCCCATCTCACAGTCACTGCACATGGAATACTGCATCTTTTTCTCACCCTCATCTTCTTTTCTTCCCTCTCTTGTTTTTTTTTCTCTCTTTCCTTCTCCAGGCTTTTATTCTTGGCCAAGATGGTGGACTTATTCTGTGGAATCTTTTTGTTGAGCACTTTTGCCATGGCATCTGCCCATCCTGAACTTGGGCCATCTTTGGAGCTTGTTGCCTCTTCAGCCACATTGCCAGGGGCTGCTGCTTCATCTTCATCATCACCATCCACGGCTTCACCTCCCGAAGAGTAGCTGTCATCTGGAAGTTCTGAACTTAACTCAGAACCTAGGGATTAAAAAAAAGAAAATAAGCAAAAAAAGTATCAGAAATTGTTTTTGGAATCCTTCACTAGTGCCATTTGCTCCACATGTAAATGTTATCCAAGTTTAGAGTGAGGTATTACTGTAAATGCGCTGTTACAATTAATTCCTCAAGCAGGCACACACCATTATAGTGAATTTATTAGAAACTATGCAGTGCAATGCTTGCTCACCTCAGTGATGATTTAAAGTGATTGAAAGAGGCTGGGCAAAAGGGAGAGGGCAGCCTTGGACATTTATAATTGGATTATTGAAAATTTTTATATTTGGGGCTGGTAATTGTGGTGGGAAAACTTGTCTATTTTCCAGTTTTAAAAGTGTAACTTATGAATGCCTATCCACACAAATATGTGCACATATGTATGTACACACTCCCAGAGAAACTGCAACAGTGACATCTGGTGTTGGACTGCAACAGCCACAGGAATTAAACTGAAGCTGGGGGGCATTTCTTACGTGACAGCAAAACCTGCTCAGAGACAACACTGCCAGCAAAACTACAATCACCCAAGCATAATGAACCCAGGGGAGACTGCTCTGTGGAATACAGCATCAAGAGAGGCAGCTCAAAAGAAACCAGAGGCACTGAGCTTTTCTGGGTAAGCCACTGCTCAAGTTACACAAATAAAACACCCCCAAAGTCAAACGTCCTTACCCCTATGAGCCCTTCAAAATAAAGAAGAATCTGAAGTTACAATACCAAAGTTTGGAATTAAGACAGCTGAAAACAGCCAAATTGATAGCACAAGAAATACATGAAGAGCTAGTCCTCATTACTCTGTTCAGTGGGTCAAATTGCAAGAATAGAAGTCTTTAACAGTGCAGGTGATTAACTAGAATGACATGGGCTGCAGGTTTAGGGCGTGCTGAAAGATGCTGGGTTATTTCACTCCATCACGTAATCAAGAGCAGAGCAGAGCATAACAAATTCCTGCCACCATTAACTACTAGTCCAGTAACATTTGTGCCACATTAAATTTTAAATTAATTATCTTACATTCAACTTTCAAGACTGCAAAACCAAATGCTGAACAGAAGGAAGCTGGTTTCTGATCCCACCCAGTCCCAGATTCCTCACGTGACTCACTTTCATCCATCTACCACTCTCAAACTCCTTACAAAAGAAAATTTAAATTTTAAACCACAGTACTACTGAGCCAGTGCTTCACTTCATAAGCACTCCTATATCCCATGAAGTACCTTTATCAACCAAGCCATTAAGAGAATGAAGCCAGGAGTGGTTCACAAGATCTGTTCTCCATGAAACCATGCAGGCAGCTATTAACAATATTCCCCATTAATCAGCTATTTAATTACTAAGCAACCATAAACATACACTAATTCATTATTCTGCCTTCTCCATGTGCCCGTTTCAACCAGAAAAAACCCTAACAAACAACATAGCAGCAAAACAGAGGCACTGATCAATTTAAAACAAAACCTTTACTGCCCAGGCACGTTTAGAGGCTTAGGGAGCATTTGGTTATCCTGATGGAAAGAAGTGAGAGTCTGTAGTTACAAAACAAATGTGGAAGAGAAATAATGACTGAATGCTTGGCCATTATCTCTATCAGTATGACTTTTACCACCACCAAGTGGTATGTCATGCTCCACTCAAAATAAACTATGGGAGTGTTTTCCAACAGTCCTTACTACAAATTGGAAGTTTAGAAATGGCGAATTTTCTCAACACATTCAGTAACTATTTAAAGGCATCCTTTTATATCCTTCTAGATATTTGCATCCACATTCTGAGTTTCCAATAAAAAATAAATTCAAACCATTGCCTGCAAATAAAGAACGGCAGCACCACACGACATTTGACATGTAGGAGCCACGTCCTGGTTCCTAGACTTAAAACAACGTCAAGTTTTCACCCCTGGGCCTTGTCCATGCTGCTCTTTAGCTTTTAAACAAGGAATCAGCCCCTGTTTGTGACAACAACTACAGAAAGTCCAAACCTGAATCCCCCACACTGCTTAGGACCAACTTCTGCAGTTAGCCATAAGAAACAGATCAGACTTATTAAAAGGAAATTTTCAAAAACATGTATCATTTCCTTCCCACAACATCTTCTGCCAATAAAGTAGGAGAATAATACGACAACATTTTGCTTTCAACAATTACAGAAAAATTAACAAGGTTTCCACTACCTGCCATAATTTATTCTTTAATGCATCAGAGTATCAGTCAAGGATCTGAGGCCCTATTCTGAATAAGAAAGACTGATATCTAGCACAGATGTAATATAAAAAGTTTTAATTGTTTCTGTGTGTGTTGTTGTGAAATACACATACACATCCCTCTATCTCACTCTTTCAGACTCGCTCAGTGATCAAGGTGTAGACACACAGTTAAAACACAGCGAACATTCAGCAAGGAGCTCTGAAAGAAGCTCCCACACAACGCCTCCCTCTGGGCTCAACTCTGGCGCTCAAACCAAACAGAACCACTGCTGGAGCCACAGCTCCAAACGGCCACAACCAGGACTCCTCCAGAATAAAGAGGAAAAAGAAGGGCAGTCACAGGATAGAATGAAGAAGTGATCACAACTGGTTAGGTACACAACACGCAAGGAGGCGAGAACGGAGCAGAACAGTGCGCTAAGGGTTAATCCCTGGAAAGAGAGCGTCCCCGGGCTTTCCTAGGGGAGAAGCAGATCCCGGCTGGCACACACGGAACTCAGGCAGCTCTGCACAGCCGTTCCCCTCGTTCCCAGAACGGGGACAGCCTCTGGCGGGCCGAGGAAATTCAGGAGCTGGGGGCGGTACCCCCGGGCTGAGGGGGAACAGCCCAAGGGCCAGCGCAGGATCAGCCAGCAGGCCCCGCGGCAATGGCAGCCACGGGCCACGCCGCTGGAAGCGGGCTCAGCAGGGGCCGGGCCGGGGTCTGAGCTCCCGTTCCCCCCAAGCCGACCGGCGCCGGCCTCGGCCTAGGGTCCGGAGCCACGGACCCACCAGCGGGCTCGCACGGGGCAGAGAGAAAGAAGAGGCCTCCAAGGTCATCACCGGCGGCTGGCGATGCCTCAGAAGAAGAGAGAGCCCCGTTCCCGCTGCCGTTACCGCTGTCCGTGTCCGTGTCCGTATCCGTATCCATGCCCGCGGCCCCGCGCCCACGTGGGCCCGCCACGGCCGCCGCCATCTTCCCCACGGCCCGCCCCACGCCGCGCTCCGGCCCAGCCCCCGCGCCGCCAAGCTGCGTTCCGGCTCCCGAGGTTCCGGGCAAGCGGGCGGCGCTTCCGGGGCGGGGCCGGGGGGCGGCGGGCCGGGGGCTCCGGCGGGCAAAATGGGCCCGAGGATGGAGCGAGCGGGGCTGGTTGGGCCCCTCCTGGCCCCCAGGCCCTGCCCGCTGCTCCGGCCAGCCCTGCGCTAACCTCCGGCTGTTCCAGGCTCCGATCGGGCCCTCCCGGGGCTCCCTGCGCCCCGAAAGCTGCGCTCACCTGGAGCATGGAGGGTACCCTGGGAACCGCTCCAGCACGGCAGAGCCTGAGCTCATTGTTCGCTTCCTCCCTGGAGGGCTGCTGTGGAGGGACATGGCAACGATAAAAATAAATTAATGCTCTATATATGTGTATATATATATATGTATATCTATATATGTGTATATATATATGTGTGTGCGTATATATGTATATATATACACATATAGGAGTCCTGGTGCGAAGAGGAATTTGAAGGCTCCACCTCAGTGCTGGTGTACCCAGGAAAACTTAGAGAAACCAGAGAAAACTTAGCCATGCTTTCAAACGTTGCTGTAAGGCCCCAAAGGAGGGGCTGGAAACGCTGGCAAACTCTGGTTGATGTGCTGAAATCGCTCTCTCTTAGTGGGGGTATTTGTTGTTAGCACTGGCTGGTTGGAAGAGCAGACCATCCACCGCATGCAGGAAAACAAAATTTCTTCTGTGTTAGGTGAGAGAAGACTTAGTAACCCTAATTTTCTGTCACTTCACAAGCACTAAACGGCCACTCACATTTTAGGGCCAGATTGTAACTGCCAGCCATCCAACCACTCAATTGGTGCCTCTGTAAGAATCACATCCTGAAAACAGCACCACCTAGAATGTCAGAACTGTAAAAGAAGCAAATCTTAGGCAACTTCTTACATAAAAGCGTTCTAACCTAAAGAAATGAAAATTAGTTATGAAGACCTGCTGTGCTTGCAGCAATAAAATGTGCTGGGGGATAGAAACTCCAGCATTCCTTGGAACCCCAAAGTAACACCATAGAAATAACCACAAGAACATTTATAAATATAGGTAGTACAGGGGGAAATTGTTACATGTAGAGTAGTCTTCAGTATTTTTCAGGTTTTAGAAATGTTTAATTTCTACACCTTATATTTTTGTATTTCTTTTGTTGTTGCAGCCCTGCACAATAAGTGACCTATGTCTGTGCATCTCATTCTACCTTTTTTCCTCAATAATGTGGATTGCAGCTAAGATAGCAAATTTCTTTTCCTGCCTCAGTATCAGGTGGGAAAATTAAAAGTTGGAGAGAGGTCAGAAAATGGTGACAGCTATTCTGACATGACTGGGGAAACTGTTTCACAAGGAAAGATTAAAAGGCTAAGTATGTCTTGGTTAAATGCTAAGGAGAAACAGGACTGGACTTCTTGTTTCTGTCATGATCTGTGCTGCTGAGTGGAGCTATCCGGTACAAATTTCAGTCCAACTCACTGTTACAAGCAAAGAGAAAACTTGTGCTGAAAATCTTGTGATGTGCAGAGTAACAAGGAAACTACAAACACCCCCATGATGTTTAATGAAGAGGCCCAAGCATTACAGGAGATGTAATTCCTAATGTTTTACTCCATGGGGCTCAAATGCTACGGTGCCCTTTCCATGATTCATCTCTGAATCCCATCGTGTCGGAAGGGACACTGCCAGGGGAAGGTCATTAAACTGCATAGACAACAAGCTCTCTCAGCATGGCAATTACAGCCCTCATTTCCTACAATACACACCTTATTGAACATGTTTCACTCCTGGTAGCCTATTTGTCTTGGAAGTATGTCAAAATCTTCAGATTAAGTCCTGTAATAGGTTCCAATAAATGACGGCTCTGAATCTTCTTCCCTCAGACTGAATTAACAAGTCACATCTCCGGGAGCACAATTCTCTCTGCAAGCATTATCCCAGAGCATTTGTCAGAAAATCTGTTGCCAAACCTCATTTCAAATGACTGTCATTGTCTCCCATCACTCTGGTCTGAATGTTTTCTGTGTTGAAATTGTGGTCTGAGGAATGCTGGAGATGTAACCAGACTACAGAATCTTTCCAAACCAGACAAAGCAGCAGTTACATCCCAGTTTATCATGAGGAACTGTGGCTGAAGAGCAGCAGAGGCACAAGCTGGAATTCTGTGTGTACGGGTCTGCAGCTAAACCTTGGCTAATGAAACAGCACAAAACTTATTTATGTGTGCACCACGGCCATCAGGAAAAAATCCGACGCAAAAGTGTAAAAGGATGGTGCAAGAATTTGCAGTCCTAACTTTTTGTTTCCTAAGATTTTAAATATGTTAATTTTATTTTTTTTCCTTGGGTAAAAGTTTAAATATCAACAATAAAGCTCAGTTGAATCAGTTACTTTGTATTGCTCATTACAGAAATAGCAGCAGCAAATTCTTAGGATCATAGAATGGTTTGGTTTGGAAGGGACCTTAAGGTCATCCAGTTCCAGATCCCTGCCATGGGCAGGGACACCTTCCACTACACCAGGCTGCTGAGAGCTCCATCCAACCTGGCCTCGAGCACTTCCAGGGATGGGGCATCCACAGGTTCTATGGGTAACCTGTGCCAGTGCCTCAGCACCCTCACAGTAGAGAATTTCTTCCTAATATCTCATCTAAACCTGCCCTGTGTCAGCTTGAAGCCACTCTCCCTTGTCCTGTCACCACACAGCCTTATGAAATGTCCCTCTCCAGCTTTCTTCTGGGCCTTTTTAGGTACTGAGAGGTCTCTCCAGAGCCTTCTCTTTTCCAGGCTAAATAACCCCAGCTGTCTTGTTATGTCTTTTTAAAAGAGAACAAATAAAGACAAAACTTCCTTTTGGTTTCTCTTTGGAATTGTACAATTCCTGTGTCCTGCTGTGTTCTAGAGTTACAATGAATTTGTGGATCCCAGCAACAAAGTGACCGACATCTGCTTAAGTCTATTGTCAGTTTGTCTCTAGGAAAGAGGTTTGTGTGATGTTCTTCAACACAGAGGCACAGGGAAATGTGCAGTGAGTGTGTATAAAGGAGAACAAGGGCAGAGTAACATACCTTGTACTTAGCAAGGCAGTAAAAGTTTTGCACTGCCCTTAGTTCTTGTGGGAAAGCCTCCACAGGCTTGTCTCGTTCTGTGCAAAGGAACTCTTGCTGGGCAGGCAGGATTACCCTTCCTAAAATAGTTCAGTCAGGCTGTAGTTCTCAGCTCTGATCTTCATCCCAGAGTGGGGCTTCTTGATACCCTGGGTGCAGGGCACCAAAAGCCTTTAAGGCAGGGCTCCAGTTTTGGCTTAATTGGATGGGTCTGGAAATAAATGTAGCTACCTGCTGCCTCCAGTCTTTGATCAAGTTCTTCATGCTTGATCAAATTTCACTAGAATAGAGATTAAAAACTAATGTGAAAATTACAAATGTAGCCCCTTGTTCTGTGCTAGAAATTCTTACTGGCATCTGTGAAAATGGAGAATTGTAGCAACCCTCAAGTATTCATGTGCCATTATCCTCAGCTTCCCAAGGTCTGAGCACATATTATCCCAGCTGAACACTAAGTGTTTCAGAACTTTCCAGCTGTTTTTTCTTTTCCAGCTTTCTTCTTTGGCTGCTACCACTCTCTTCCTCTTCCCTTTCTGAACAAATTGCCTTGACTCATACATCCCCCAAATAATTGCCCTTTCTGTTCCAATGAAGACTGAATTCCAAGCCAGTATAATAAAGTTAAAAATCCTTGCCACATTTGTAGGTCATATTCATAGCCTGATTCCTGCACTAAGAGGGATCAATAACACCAGAGAGGAGATGAGCATGATAAAACTCTCCAGCGCCTCAAGATTTAAATATGTTTATGCCCATTTCCATTTCTTTGGTTTAGCTGATGCCATGTTTTCCCCTCAGCTCTGCAGGGTATTTGCAGATGAAGAAAAAAAGAGCAGTTCATGAGTAAATCACAGAACACTGTGCTGTCATATAATAACTACTGCTCTAATCTCATATTCAATAAAACCCATATAAACTGACATTTAATAAATCATAATAAAGTACTACCTGGTCCTCTGCAAATGTTTTGCCTCCGGAAAGTTCTAGTCTAGCTCCCAGCAAGGTCAGGTGGAAACTTTCTGCTTCTTTCCCTGTGAATTCATTTGATCCCTGATTCTCACAAACACCAGTGCAGTTTTTAGGAGGGAGACACAGAGTGGTAAATACGACTTTTGCAAAACTTTATGCCTGTAGTTTTAAACATAAACATGTTCATGGACTTAGCTGAGTGCTTGTGCAACTGTTAGCTACCTCAGCAATGAAAAACAGAACAGACAAGGCCTTTTCTGTACATTAAAATACCCCAAGCTCAGAATCACGGACTAAGAAATTATTCTAAAAATAAATTGTGAAATCTTGCCCACTGAATGCAACAGGTTTGCACCGTGCGTATGCATGAACTGATGCTGGATAATTTTAAATCTGTGTTTTCTGAACTTAAAGTGCTTGAATTTGAAATTATCCCTATTATTTGACACAATTTATTCTGCGTGTGGTTGTTGATTTTATTATTTTATTACATATCAGCTTTCAACCAATACTGCAGTGTCATTTGATAAACAGCTTCCTGGTTTGAGAGAGTTTATGTGTCATGTTGAGGAGCAATTGTTATTTTCTGTCTCATCAATATAAGAAAATTAAAAAGAGATGAAAGGACTTAATTTACCTAATATGTACCTAAATCTTAAACTTTTCTGTGTTTGTTCTTCCCTAACTCCATTCATTCATTTATTCACCCTCAATAATTATTCTTGCTCCTATATTTCCTGGGAATGAATTATGGTAGTGATGTATTACCTGAAATAATCAAGTTCAAAACATGAACTGACTCTAATTTTAGGAAATTCATGTCAATTTTTTTCCATTTTATCAATACCTGCATCATAGGAGTTGGCTGGAGCTGCGATGAGCAACTGA